ATTTTATATCTGGGAAGAGTAATACAAATAGAACACATCTTCAGGTAATTTTGTCATTGTGCAAATATCGTAGAACATATGCACATGAATATTAGTGGAACAGACCACCACACATCTAGGCTGTATGGTCTAGCCTATTGCAACTATGCTATAATCTAAATAGCATGTGACCTTATATAATACTTTGGGAAATTTAATATAAAATTAATGTTACTTTGTATAGGTAAACAAGTCTAATATACAAAAGGGACAATAATAGTGTATTATAAATGATTTATGAAGTAGTGTATCTGAAGATACAGTACCAAGAAGGAAGCTTATAGGACTGGCAGTTAATTACTCCATGGTATTAGTAAAGTAGAAAGCAAGTAAGGGCCTTATTGTTTATTTCTGTATTCTTTATAAATAATATATACTTAAGCCACGCACAATTTATAGGAAGATATTTTGTTTCCTTAATAATGAATTAATCTTAGGTCAATGCAGCTTTTACTTTACAAACTTTTGAAAGTATATTTTTAAACTTTTTACTATTGCAATAGCACTTAGCTTAAAAGATTAACACCATAAACTATCTTCTTTTTCATTTTATTCTATGACCTCTTCTGCATTTTAATTGTTTTTATTTTACACATTTCAAATAGATGATTAAAACATGTTTCAAATTGTTTATTAAAAACTAATACACAAACAAACATTGGCATAGCCCTGCACAGGCCAAGGTTCATCACTATCCCTGTCTTCTTCCTCCAAATCTTACTCTGTTGGAAAGCCTGCAGGGCCATGATGTCCACGTGGCTGTGCCGTACGGCAACAGGTCCATCTTCTACAATTCATCCTAAAGGGAAAAGCACAAAACAAAGACTGAAAGAAATCTTTACACAGAGACTTTGGAATTCTGACAAAAGGCTAAGATCTAGAAACAGATATCATTCAGGAGTCCATGACTACCTGCACATAACATAACATCTACCTAACTGACTAGATGGCAAACAAGACCTCCTGAGGTACAGAGATTCTGAAGTTTCTGTGGTTTGCAAAGCAAATGTAGTCACTGTAACTTTGGTAAGGATCTTACTGTTCTCACAGTAGGCATCATCAGCAATGCCAAGGGGAGACTTCAAATTTAGAGTCAACAAGCTCTGGAGGCAGAGGTGGCAAATATGACAGATACTGCATACTGTTGGTCGGAAAACCTCCAAGCAAAGTCCACCAAATACCTGTGGAGTAAAATAAAATGTGAGTGTTCTGCTAAAGGGTGTGGTTGTTATAGAAATAAATTTTAAACATGCAATTTTTTCCATTTTATAAGTGGTACAAATGATATATACAATCTTCATGTATTTCTTTATGAATAGCAAGGAAACAAATCTTTTACAGATATTTTGATCTCAGTTCCATTCATGAAAAACATGAAAAATATTACATACATTTGTCAAGTTTAAAAGAAAGTTCTCCCTTACAATTTTCTTCAATTCAAGTGGAATTATTATATAAAACTTGAAGTCACTAATAATATGTGGTTAAAAAATATTGAATTTTTTAAATAAAAAATTACATTAAAAATACTTTAAATCTCATTTTAGTCTCTAAATACAATTTATATTAGTAACAGCTTTCCTTTTAACTGGTGTGCATTTTTATTGTTCTCATAACAAGAAAATTTTAATTGCAAAGAAACAAAATAAATTTCCTTAGGAAAAAATGAATCACCCTTTGAGGAAACAGAGTTAATGACATGCTCAGACAAGTGGCATCTGATAGAGTCTCGTCTTAACTAACAGATTTGCAAGTCATGATATCAAAGAATGATTTTTAGAGGTATTATGAAACAAGAGGCTTGGTCACAGAATTTTAAAATGTAAGTTAGCTATTTAAAAAATCTGTACCTTTATCCTGAAGCTCCACCAGATATGTGTAATAGATTATTTGCTTATAAAGAAACATTAAACTAGACCACAAGTGTAACAGATGAGTTTGGATGGAATCATTTATACATAAGCTATATGGACTGGGTAATCAAATCAGTGTACTGAGTTGTAAATAGAAATACACACCATATAAGAAACACAGGAGCTGTCTGAAGACAAATGTAAAAGACAATCCAGCTGGACAGAAATAATTAGTGGTAAAATAATTTTTCATTAACAAAGGGAAATTCTCAAGCTACAACATCTAATCAAGATCTCAAAGTCTTAAGATAACAAATTAAACTTCTTTTAAAATGTATAAGTCATGGGGCTAGAGAGGTAGCTCAGCAGTTCAGAGCACTTGTGGCTCTTCCAGAGGGTCTGGGTTCAGTTCTCAGCTGTCACACAGTTCACATCAATTTTAGTCTCTTGGGATCCAGTGCCCTCTTCTGGCCTCCATTAGAACCAGATATGCATATGGCACACATACATAACCACAAGCAAGACACATAAACACGAAATAAAATAAATAATGTGTGAATCAAATGTATACACATATGTGTGTATTTATGTATAAAGCAAACTGATAAATTACAATATTACTCTGTGCAAAGAATTTTAGGCTAATGGGTGAAAAAGGTGAATAGAAAAGAAATATAATAGGGAATAAGGGAATAAAACCATTACATTCTGGAATATTAGGCAGAATATGTTAACATATAATAGTCTCCCTTTATCCACGGCATATATATTCCAAGACCCCTAGTGATGTATGAAATGCAAGTAGTGTTAAACCTTCTATATATAGTAATTAGGGTTTTCTTATACATATATAACTCTGGCACATTTGAGAAGAGGTTAGTAACAATAACAAAAAAATGAAAAGATATAACAGTGTTCTGTAACAAAGTTATAAAATATACTTTATCCCTTTAATTTTTTTTATATTTATCATCTCACCTAAAGAAAACTCTATGGCTTCTTCTAGTACAACTGAATGGCCAGCCTCACTCTTGAGCGATATTAAGTGGGGTATCTTGGACAGAGGCACTGTGACACCATGGCAATGGCTCTGAGAACCAAAATGGGCATTAGGTGATTAATGGCCAGGAAGAATACAGAGTGGATGCATTGGACAAAAGGATGATTCATGTCCTGCGCAAGATGGAGTGGCCAGTGTAAGATTTCATTAAGCTAGTCACAACAGCCTGCAATGTCAAATTTATGAATAAATTATGTATTTCTGGAATTTTCCATTTAATATTTTTGACTGTGGTTGAATGAGAGTAAATAAGAGTTCAGAGAGTAAAACTGTGGATAAAGAAAGCATACTATGATTACAGAAATATGGTGGTATTTTATTTGTACTGAAATGTGATTTTAATTGTATGTTAATAAATAAAGTTCCCCGGGGGTCAGAGCTATTAGAGCCATAGCAAGAGCATGGTGGTGGTGGCACACACCTTTAATCCCAGCACTTGGTAGAAGAGCTAGGTATATCTCTGTATATTCAGGGATACGACCAGCATTGGAGACACACGCCTTTAAGACCTGGAGGGTTGTACATACAGGCAGTGACGAGGCAGTCACGTGTTTGGGTTTACAACCAATGAGAAGGCAGAACAGAAAGACTATGTAAAGACATACACACAGGAAGTAGGTCTCTTTCGGAGAGGAAGGACCACCGCAGGAGGAAGGATAAGGTTTTAGCTCTGAGCTCTGACCTCTTGGCTTTCTCTTTTACAGTGGTTCTGTGTTTCTTATTTAATAAGACAGTTGGCTACATCTACACAGAAAGACAAAAATTTCATTCATCCAAGGCAGAATGAAATCCTATGTTGCTTTGGATCAGGTGATAGTCCTCACAGAAGAGACATTTGCCTGCTTCATATCTGAAAGCAAATCCCATTTAATTTCTAAGCCTGCAAATAATTTGCATAAATACACCAAACTCCTTCTTAGATTCTAACTGTCTAGTTAAGAGTTTCAAAAATAGCTGACTACCTTGGTCACAATGCATCAAAACAATAGAAACTTAAAACATGATATTTAAAATCTCCAAGTATCCTAATACATTCTTCCTGACTTTTGCTTCCAAGTTTATTTAGAATTACTATATGGTTTGAGTAGATGGCTCACCTCTGACTATCTATTTGTTAAGTATACGCAGAACAATGACAATTAAAGCAATATATAAGAATGAAGAGAATCCTGTTCAGATTCAGCATAAAAATGCATAGATATAAAATTAAATGTCAAAAGAGCAAAATGAAAACATGAGTTTAATGAGTATGAGGTAGCATATTATACAAAGAACAGTTCCAGACAACTCTAAAAGAACTATCTGGTACTTAGGGTATGGATATTATGGAATATAGTGGACATAGATTTCCAAGAGATACAGTTCAAAATTCTAGAAACAATCTTTGGTAGAAATGTTAATGTTATCAGTTCATCATATATAGAACTCCACAGAGCCAGTTTTCTAAAAATTATCCCTTGAATAGTTAATGGTAGTCATTTTTAGAAAACAATATTTGAGTTAAATTGTGAAAGTAGTCTAACTTGAAGATCTCTACTTTCAGTAGGTGTTCACCCGCCATGCTTCTACTCAGGTTGGTTTTGATAGAGTGATGAAATGGGTGAGTTTTGATTCATTGACCCTGGCTTTGAAAGAAGTCTATAGAATATATCAGACTTGGGAAATACAGACCTATAGATATAAGCTGCATGGACAAGACTCATAAAACAGCCTGCAGCAGAGTATCCTTGTTGAAAAGAGGTAGGAAGGGCATCCCAGGCAAGATATTGGAAGAAGGTCAAAATACGGGGATGGAAGTAAGAAGTGATGATGACAGAGATTTTTCAGGCAGAGGTGGAAGGATAGGAGGGGCCCTGCTCGCCTCTCATTCTTCAGAGTGTATTTCATGGCATCCTGTTTGAGAGTTCGTTCCTTTAGTTGTTCTTTCACTCCTAAATTATGTCTGAGTAATCTCTCTACTCTGGGTTTTGAGAATTAATCATAGGCATTTCCTCCCCATTTGTATTGAATTCTGTCAACTACCTGAACCTCATTTTTTTTCTTTTTAGATTAGAACACTGTCTGAAGAAATCAGATGAATTACTCAAGGCAACACAATTGATTATTGACACCCATTCAATTAAAACTTGAGCCTCCAGCCTTGTCAACCTAATGTGCCCATCATTTCACAAGCACCTTGCCTGTAATAGACTGAGTCCCATAGTAAGCACCTGGATTGTCAAGAACTTCTGAAGAGAGAACCAGAAAGCAGATTTTGGAGGGAGATGGAAAAGATGAAAGTGCTTAGAAATATAACTTAGCATGCAGCTGATATAGAGGTGTCAATTTTAGCTGTAGTATTTAGTGTGTTGTTATTCTTGATTGCTTAGATCTGGAATCAACTAAGTGACCAGCCTCTTGGTGAATCTGTGAACAAATTTCTAGGAAAGATCAACAGAGCAGAGAACAGAAGACCCTCCACCAGAATGGGTAGCACCTGTGGTAACCCATCTAGAAAGATGTCAGAGGAAAAAGCTATTCAGGTCGCCTGCCCACCTTCACTTCTTGCTGAATATATCAACTCAGTGTTGCTCTTGTTCTTATCATTCACTGAAAACAGAGTCCACCTCCTTCAGCCTTCTGAGATTCACCAATGGATCTCCAGTCATCCTCCAGGCCTTCAGCACCAGTTTAGGGCTGCTAAGGCATACAGCTTTGTGGACTGAGCAGCTACTGCGTTTTCAGGCTTTCTAATGTACAGGTAACCATTGTTGGACTAGTCAGCTATATTGCATAAGCTCATCTAATAAATCCCTTTCCATATCACTTCTGCACTCTGTAAGTTCAGTTCCTCAAGAAAATTCTGACTAATATTCTCATGCCCATTTGATGGAATATGATGTGATCATTACCAAGTCACCACAATGATAAGCACTTATGTTAGAAATGTTGTGAAAGCAAGTACATCATCCTGATGACACACCTGTACTTTAAGAGTCTCATGAAATGTATATTCAGTTGTTCTTTAACAAAACAAAAAAAAAGCAAAATCCATCAGTATTAATCTTGTAGCAACTAGTTACACTCATCACATATATCGTGTCTGTGTTGGGTCCATAGACTGGCAAGTGCAGCTGCATAATCCATAGGTTAGAATAGATAATTGCAGCCTATCAGCTCAAACTACATCCAGCAAGATCTCCTCTCATGGACTCAAACAGTAGTGAAATCTGGTGCCATCACAGTAATATCTGCCGCTACAACAGTACTTTGGTTTTCCTTACTCTGATAGATTCAAGTTAGACTCAATGAGTACAACAGTACCCTTCTCCTTCCTTTAACTAAAAAAAAGCAGACAGGCTGAAAAGAGGTACATGCCCAAAGCTTAACTGAAGGGAGGAGGGTTTAGTCATCTATACAGGGAGGCATTCTATATTTAAACTAAAGCAAGCCTGGCATGCCACTCCACAGTTCAGTCAGCAAGCTCTGTGGGAGGTGGCATCAGTAGCTGCTGCCTAAAGCAGAACTTCCAGTAGTGAAGGTTTATTGGAAATGACTGAATGGATAAACACTGAAGTAGCTACTAGTAGTCAGTGACTGCTCCCTTTGCATGGATATTGCTGTATCCCAAATGTATATATTCTATGAAAGTGGCAAAGAACCAGGACAAACTAGAGAACTCACCATGTCACTGCCTCATTGTAAATCCTGGGCTTTTGCCATTGCAATGCACTTTTTGTGACACAGAGAAAATTACTAAGCACACAATTTATAAAAATGTAAAGGGAAAGCCACAAGTATCCTGCATATGCAACAAAGAAACAAATGAAATGTCTATCAGAAGGATTACTACAAATAGACACTCACGAAGCTGTGGTGAACTTTGGCTTTGATTATCATCAAAGTTTTTCAAGATTCTTGGAGTCCAGTCACAGAGACATTATTTACTCTTCTTTTTTATAATCTTCCTCTAAAAATTAGAATAAATCATAAATCATGACTCTAAAAATAATAATAAAACCACAGCTTATTGGATGTCTTTCTCTTTGGGAGGTAAACACTGCTAAAACACAGGGACTAGGGCTCTGTTCTCAGTTATCGAAATGAGGTGTTCGAAATTTGAGAGAGGGGCGAGAGAGATGGTTCAGCAAACAAAAGCACTCTCAGCTCTTCTACAGGGATTTGGTTCAGTTCCCAGCATCAACTTAGCAGCTAACAATTGTCTATGAATAGTCCCAAGCGATAAAATGCCCTCTTCTGGCCCCTGTGTGTACTACATGCATGAGTGCACAAATAGACCTTCAGGCACTCATACACATAAAAAGATGAAGAGATCCACAGCCAAGTACCAGACACGAACTCCAGGAGTCCAATCGAAAAGAGGGAAGAGGGATTGTATGAGCAAGGGGCCTCAAGATCATGAAGAAATGTACAGAGACAGCTGTGGAACCTATATGTGCCCGAACTAGGTCCCTCTGCATTTGGGAGACAGTTGTGTACCTTGGTCTGTTTGAGGGGCCCTGGCAGTGGGATCAGGATCTATCCCTGGTACATGAGCTGGCTTTCTGGAGCCCATTACCTATGGTGGGATGCCTTGTTCAGCCTTGATGCAGGGGGGAGGGGCTTGGTCCTGACTCAACTTAATGTACCAGGCTTTGCTGACTCCCCATGGGAGCCCTTACACTTTTGGAGGCTGGGATAGGGGTAGGGGAGAGCCTGGTAGAAGAGGGAGGAGGGATAAGAGGTAGATCTGTGGTTGGTATGTAAAATGACTAAAAAATTTTCTTAAATAAATAAATAAATTTTAAAAAAAATCTTCTAAGAAAGTTTAAATTCAAGAGAAAGTGAATGAATTCAATTATTGGGAAATAATATAACTACCAGTGAAACTGTGACACTTAAATATTATAATTCTTTGAGTTGCATAGTCCAGTTTTTAAAAAGTAACAGACTTAGAATTAACACTCTAGTAAGCTACAGTACTTGAATTTGGAGTAGTAACAACTTAGAACAAAAAACAGATATATACCACTCCTAACTCCTCTGTGTGTAAGAGAGATAGAGAAATAAAGGGATGAGACAGATACATAGATAAATATGTAGGTAGGTAGGTAGATAGATAGATAGATAGATAGATAGATAGCCATCTTGACTCTAACAAATTTGCCAACAAGTTTATGAACAGTGAGGAGATAGAAACCATCATAATACAGTATTCTAAGCTGCTGTTCTGCAATGCTTTTCGAGTAATTTCAGGTTCTGAGGTACAACACTCACAGCATTGTAAATGAAAACCTAGAAAGATAACAACATTTATTTCTCACCCCTGCCCCCTTCTCAAAAATCCTATTTTGCAAACTACTCTATAAAAATTTAACTAGAAAGGTTGTAAGGACTAGAATGTCTTTATTTTCTATGTGGTATTGTTCATAACATAAATACCCAGTAGGATTCCTCCAAAGTATACATGCAGCTCATCTCTCTCAATGGATAGAAATAAATCAATTGATATATAAGATAAGTAGAGAAAATAAAAATGTGCTTACAAATTTACAGCCTAAATTTTTAACCTAACAGCTTTACCCATTGTTTACAGTTCTATCATCTTTTGCAAGTATAAATAAAAAGCATAAAACTAAAAATGTCTTTGCAGTACATGACTTATTTATCTCTTTCATTATTATACCCAGAATAGGCAAGTTATATTTGACTTGTTTCTTTATAAAAACAAATCTGGTCACCTGGTGTACATAGGCCCAAAGAAGCTTTTCAGCTTTATATGGAGGCATCTACCCCCTTCTACTTTGGAGACATTTTGAAAACAACCCGTGCAATGGGGGAAGACATTTACTTTCTCCAGCATTGAGTTGTCTCTGGGCATGTAAACTCTCTAATCCAATAGTGAGGCATAACCACTTTCAGCAGTTAACTCAGCAAAGCAGAGATTTCTCATAAAAACCCATTATCATCTCAGTGAGAAAACTGTCGTACTGATTCTGATAGTCTCATCTCTAAACATCGTGGCTTGCATTTACTTATTAATGAAAGTTTAAACATATGAACAGCAAAGTAATCTAGAAAATGCCTGTGAAATATAAGTGTTGCCTAATTTTGTTTAACTAGGCAAAGATGTGTTACAGTTGTTTATGCTGCATTTGTTTGTTTAATTATTTAAAGATGTGATGCTGTTTGACCTTGCCTGCCTAAGGCAACTGATTGGTCTAATAAAAAGCTGAATGGCCAATAGCTAGGCAGAGGAGGGGTAGGTGGGGCTGGTGGGCAGAGAGAATAAGGAGAAGGAGAAATCTCAGTGAGGGAGAGAGAGTTAGAGACATAGAGAGAGAGAAAAAAAGAGAGGGAGATGCCCAGGGCCAGCCAGGCAAACACTAATCAGACATGGAGTAAGACATACAGAATGAAAGAAAGGTAAAAAGCCATGAGGCAAAATATAGATGAAGAGAAACTGGTTAAATTAAGTTAGAAGAGCTAGTGGGACAAACATAAGATAAGGTTGAGCATTCATAACTAGTAATTAGTCTCTGTGTCATGATTTGGGGTCTGGCTGTCCAAGAAAGCCTGCTATATTTGGTGTTCCAACGTGAGGCCCTTATTTCCATATAGAGCCTAAGAAAGCTGGAAAAAAAAAAAGAAAGTGGATATGACTCCTTCAAGAGTCTCTGCCATACAGCAAGCACTGGGGCAGATGACACATTAAGTAGAAACAGCAAGCTAAGTAAAAATGCCTGCCATAACTGTAGCTTGGTCCTCTTGTGGAACTCCTAACAGTGGGAACAAGGGCTCTCTCCAACTCTTCTGTGTTCTTTGTGAGACCCTTCTGGCTTTGGGGACCCTACTCATCATACTGGGTCACCTTCCACTTCCTTAATATATGGGGAGGTGCTTAGTTTTACTACAACTTGATGTGCCATGTTTTATTGATACTCCTAAGAGACCTGCCCTGGATGCAGACAAAGGAAGAAGGGATTTGTGGTGGGAGTAGGGGAAGAATGAGGGAGAAGGACTGGGAGGGGAGGATGTAGGGGAAGCCATAGCCAAGATGTAAAATAAATTGACAAAACAACAACAACAACAACACCTGCCACAGTAGGGGCACTAACTCCCTAGAGCTGGTGTGGTTGAATGCAGCTCCTGGTTATATACAGCTCCCAGCTGAATGCAGCTCTTGGCCAGGCTCTCAGGGTGTAGAGCTCAGCTCTCTATGTATAGGCACTTAAGAAAGAAAAGAAAATGTATACAGACAGTCATAGGAAAATATAAATAGCTTAAAAATAATAAAGTCTTTAAAGAGAGAGTAAAGTAATATAAAGGGAAAAGCCACATAAAGATGGGAAATACACAAGAAGTCTGGATCCTGTATGGTGTTGTGCTGACTTTGAATGTTTTGAATGCTGAGGAATGACAGGTGCTGTGACACATGGGATTGTAAGAGGAACTGCTGAATTCAGCCAGCCTAGATACTTTAAGAATGTCTTAACTTTAAAATGGAATGCTTATTTTGTTGAAAGAGAGGTTATACTTTTCATTCCATGGGAAATGAAAGACTGTGGGTTCCTTCAAGGCTAACAGAGATCAGGTGTGATTTGAGGATACCACCTGAAAATTTTGGCTACAGACATAAATAAAAAAACAAATAAAACTACAAGACATATGATATATATATACTGGTCTCTCTACATGGAAACAATTCTGAGACCAGGCAAAAAATGTTACAACTGGTTTTCTCAGAACTTGACCATTATATCAATTT